GTGTGTGTGTGTGTGTGTGTGTGTGTGTGTGTGTGTGTGTGTGTGTGCAGGGAGGAGAAGACGGAGCAGCTGATGGATTCGAGGCATGAAGCTGAGCGTTTGGATCAGGAGCTGCAGAGACTAAAACAGGAGGTGAGAAACAGGACGAGTCACACATCACTGACGCGCTGAGCCACAGTAGGCGGTCACGTGTCCGTGAGGAGCGTTTCTGTGGAAGCTCGTTTTCCTGCGTCCCGGTGTGAGTCGTGCTCAGCTTTTGGGAGAATCCTCGTCTGCAGGGGATGCTTCCTAAAAGGAAGCAAAAACAGAGCCTGTAATTATTTAAAGATGGTCCACAGAGAGCATCCAATGTTCAACCTGAGCATTTCTTATCTGCTCACTTTGGATCTGCCATGAAGTTGTTCCAGGAGCAACAGAAAGATGGAGAAGTCGGAGCTGTGGAAACATTTGACGGCTGATGAGGCGAAGGTGTTCGGGGCGGAGCTCTGTGGCGGCCTGTGAGGGCGGACGGTGACTGAATACAGGCTGGAAACATCTGGAGCAGCTGGAACCGCTCCTCAGCAGGAACGACGCTGCATCAGGTTGAAGATGAGCCCATATTCTACATAAAAGGATCGATCAGTTTGACCTTTGACCTGCTCTCTGTGGGCTGTGATTGGAGGACGGCTCTGTCCAGCTGAACATGGTTTGCACGATGGATTATTTCTAACACGGTCCTCTCACAGAGCTGGGATTAGACTCACATGTAATCTGATGGAGGGTCATCCCCCTCTGCAGTGGTCTCAGTCACTTTGTCCCAGTTTGATGAACTGGTTTTGAGCACGCAGCAGAGATTAATAAGTGTACAACAGGATGACGTGTAATCCTGCACGGCTTCAGCATTTAAATTACCAACAGATTACAGAGCATCAGGAGATCAGAGCGTTTGTATAGAAGAAGTTTAAGCAGGCTGCTGCTCTGGGTTCGTACAGAGTGGTTGGATGGTGGCGGCGCTTTTATCGTGAGGTTTGGATTAATAACAGGAAGGAAGTGACGATAACGTGTTCCTGTTTTATTTTTCAGAACCAGTCTCTGTCCGTCGAGGCGCGCTCCGCCCGGGTGTACCGGGACGAGGTGGACTCCATGCGGGAACGAGCCGCTCGCGTCGACCGCCTGGAGACCGAACTGAGCAGATGCAAAGAGAAGCTCAACGACGTTCACTTCTACAAAACCCGAGTGGAGGTAAAACCAGAGCGTCTCACCACAGAGCAGCCTCCACATTAAAGCCACCGACAAACACCACCATCACCTCCGCACGCCGCCTGAAACAGGAAGCTGTGGGTCCTCTGGCGTCCGCTTCAGGCTGGCTCCAAAAGGGAGTCAAATACAGGGCTAGTCTAAGGAGCTTGGAAAGAAAAGCGTCTGGACTTCAAGTTGCTTGAAGATGTTTCACCTCTGATCCGAGAAGCTTCTTCAGTTCTAAGGTCAAATGCTGGAGAGTCCCAGACCCACACCTGCTTTCACACCTTGGCTCATGTGATTAGAGGCTCATCAGGGGTCCTTTGTCCCTCTGTGGGGGGAAACTCCCACTGGGTTTAAATCTGGGACTCTCCACCATTTGACCTTAGAACTGAAGAAGCTTCTTGGATGAGAGGTGAAACTTCTTCAAGCAACTTGAAGTCCAGACGCTTTTCTTTCCAAGCTCCTTAGACTACGATGACCTGGATGACTGAGAACCTTCACAGACAAATACCTGGCTATTTCCATCTTCTGCATACAGTCTGTGTAAGGAGCGACAATTGAACGCTGTAAACAGATGAGCATAAGAAAAACAGTGTGTGCAGACCGGGTGGTGCTCCGGGTGGTGTTCAGCTGGGACACCTGGGTCCTGCTTTCATGTTTGATCCCCTCCCTAACCACAGACCTGCACACGCCTCCGTGGCGGCGCCCTCTGTCAGGCGGTTAATGCCTGACTGAGAGTGATGTACACAGACCTCACCGCACAGCTTCCAGGACACCTGCAGAGGTGTGTGGCATCCACACCACCTCCACTCGGGGGAGGGGCCTGGTGATGTCAGGTGGTTTTAATGTCGTTGCTGACAGAAAAAAAAGACAAAGGGGTGAACGATTATTTTCATGGTTTTAATATTTTCATGTTTCTGTTTATGTCCTCACACCGAACACATTTCTGCACTTAATCTGACCGTGTGTGTGTG